GTACGGGGGCAACACTGAGGGTTGCAATCCGTTGCCGGATACGGAAAAAAGACAAAAGACAAAAAAAAAAAAAAAAAACGTATTTCTTCTTGAATTCAGCTCTGCTGAATATAAACACTTCCTCTTGGTGACAGGCTAGTCTTTAATGTGCAATTGAGAACAAGACACAGACCAGCATGTTATGATTAATCATAATCCATTTCCAGTGAGGGCAGAGTAAGAGTGGAATAGAACTCACATTGAGATCTGCCAATTCTCTTTGAGAATTAAATGTCCTGTTTTAAATTGTCCCTCTTTTAACCGTTACTCTCTCAGTCCACAATTAAACTGCACTTAAAATACTTATTTCTCTGCTGGCTAAAATTCAAAACTGTATATAGTAAGACAAAACAGTGTCTGTGTAGACTTCTTTATTAAGGGTGTAGCAGAACTGTCTACTCAACTAGACAAAAGCCCAGACATGATGTAAACAATCCGCCCTCTCCAAGAATAAATGTACCATTCACATACCCTTTCTCAGTAAGGGCATACTCCTTTGAGACAGACTGCTTCAAGTATTAAATGAACTTACACAAAGGCGTATAATATATAATTATCCACCACTTTCTATTTGCATACAAATGAAGCAATTGATGTTTTTAAGTCTTCTGCTGAATGCATTTTTAGGAGCTGACCTAGCTATGCTCTGAGCAAGCAAGTATAGAGTCACCAGTGAATGTAGATACATGAGAATACAACTGAGTATCTGTTCATAGGACAAAAACCCCAGCCAAGGAGACTTGATCAGACTTGAATCCCATGAGCCAAAAACATTGAGGGACAAGATGGATTTCATTCTCTAAGGCAGCTGAGGCTGACAATTGCTGGGGCTAGAAGGTATAAACTAATCTCCCTGGGATAAGTATTTTAAAAGATTTCCAAAACAAGAATGGTTTTCTTTAAGACACTTCCAAATACTGAATGTCAAGACCAAATTAATTCCATGAGAAACAAATCTTTAAAATATTACCTGTTCCATCATTCTTATATTTAAAAAAAAAAAAAAAAGAAAAACTCTTTAGCATATCAAATTTCTCTTTTACTCAAAACACGCAATGTTTCCATTAGATTTCCACTAATGAAAAAGGCGAGGGAAAAACATGTGTGGTAACTAATTAACAATAGAAACCACGCCTGGGATGGGACCGAGCAAAGCAGACCAGCTAGTTTTGCTGGAGACTTGGGCAAGGGCAGTGAAACCATCAACTTGGTTCCCTTTCTGGCATCCTTAACTCCTCTAGATGCTCGTAGGAGGGAGGCAGGGAACATTCACAGATTTCCAACTTCTCCCCCAACATCCCTGCTCTCTACCACAGCCTAGCAGTCTCCTGTAGGACTAAATATACTGGAGAAAGCTGAGGTCATCAGACCAGGGACTGAAACTGAGCTGGGTGTTTTCATGCAAAACAGATGTTAAGAGGCTTAGTACGGAGTGGTCGCAGACTGCTAAAGAGGTACATGTGGCAGTTACCATGGAGATGGAGTTGGAAGATGCTGACAAAACAAGAGACCACTGCTCACAGCGGGACCAGCTGGATGTTGGGCCCATGATGGACAGGGAAGAAAAGTGAAACCTCAGTGGAGACATCGATCACTGAAATGTCTTGGAGTTAACACCATGTGCACTAAGAAGTGTCTTTGAATGGTAAAATTCTCAGGAAGAATTTTCCCCAATTATTAGGTTCTTCAGTGAAAAAGGCCTTGATAAGTATGAACCTACAGAGATGTAGCTGATCAGACAGAGCATAGACTTTGCTCCCCCAAATCTCTTACTTTGTAAGGAGAAGAAAGCAAAACTTGCCTTAGTGATCAGAGAAGATAGAGACTGGTGACACTAAATGTAGTCTGCCATACTCCACAGGAAAAAGAAATCTCAACTCAGTGATAACATCATCTCTAGCCCCAACACAAACACTGTCCCAGGCATGATGTGCCTTCAAGAAATACAGCACTATGTATTAGGGGTTGGACATTCCACTTTTACTTTCATTTTTACCTCCTCAGTCTCTGCTTTTTATTTTAAGAACTGGCCCCATTTCTGCGACTGTACGGATTATCCAACCTCACCATCCTTAATGTACTTCCAGAGGCTTCTAATGAAGATCCTCAGCTTAGAAAATTCAAAACCAGTGTTTCTTTTACCCAGGTTGATTCTCTTCCATTCTTCTTTCTTCAAGAAATTATGAACACAAAAAAGCAGCAGAAGGGAGAAAACAGTAGTATAATTTAAGAAGCTGATCCCAAAGTAAATTCTGTATTCCTGTGTTTCTTCTATGGGGTTTCACTTCCTTTCAGCAACTTCTTCAAAGAGGCAGTTTATTCTGCCGTGTACCTGTTAGGTCTCCTTTGAACACCCTAGCAAGGTTTTTCCATTAGAGCCTCTATCCAGCTGCTTCCATTCATTAGTTTAGTGGTGGCAATTACATATTCTGTACCTCCATCTTCCAACTGGGAGAGAAATCGTAGGGCAGCAATTTCAGCAAAGGTTACACCCCCAAGGAAAAATATCAGAGTGACCCGGTTTTCTCCTGGTTGACCTAAAATTTAAACATTTCAGAATTAAAAACTATTATTGGTGCCTCTCTTCCCATCTCTTAAAACATTTTATCATCTGTAGGCCAAAAAATATCAAATGTATCTTGGTACAGACAGTACGTCTGAAACTTGAACACTGATTTTGATCTCAACATTTTTTCTAACTCCTGAGATCCTCAACACGGAGGTTGAAAACTGCTACTCCTGAGGGAATAACACGGTTCTAGTGCTTACGATATACATTAGCAACTAACAAAAGAGGTATATTTGACTCTGACTCCTCAGCACTTTACCAATGTATTTTATAAAACAACAGAACAACACAAGAAAACCACACTAAAACAGTACATAATGATCTGTAGCTGCTGGACTAAGGCTTACGTTTCTTTTGTAGTCCTGTGGGCAGAGGCTGCCGTTCTTCAAAGTGCGGCCCTGGGAGGATGCGGAGGACCTCCTCAATGCTCCGCCAGCCAGGCCGGGAAAGCAGCTGAGCTAGGCGTACACTAAGTGGTGCATAACCACTGTACACATAGGATATGTCCGTGGGGTTCTGTTAAATAATCAAGACAAAGAGCCACCTAAATATGGCTTCTTGGATAATGCAAAATTATTTGATTTGGATTTGAAGGCAGAAACAGAACTTCCCCTATCCCCACCCCATGCCCTCTCCAGTACACCCCAGCTGGGCTTTGTTCTTAGCATCCAGAGCTTCACTTTGGACTCAGACCTTGAAAAGCCACTCAATGCAGCTCTAGGTACTGAAGATGAAAAACTGCTACTAGGTTTAGCAAAAAACTTCTTAGAGGGCAACTTGGCATTCTGGAGCTAAGTAACAATGTGCATAACCTTTGAACCCAGCAATTCTACTTTTAGGCATCTATCCTACAGAGATGCTTGAAGACCATCAGAAAATAGACCAAAGTATAAACATATTAACTGCAACACTCTATACAATATCAAAAGACTGCAAACAAGGGCTGGCCTGTGACTCACTTGGGAGAGTGTGGTGCTGATAACACCAAGGCCACAGGTTCAGATCCCTATATAGGGATGGCCGATTGGCTCACTTGGGAGAGTGTGGTGCTGACACCACCAAGTCAGGGGTTGAGATCCCCTTACCGGTCATCTTAAAAAAAAAAGACTGCAAACAACCTGAATTTCTATGAATAGGAATCTGTTAAATCATAAAATAAGGTATATCCTCAAAACCACTAAGTAGCAATTAAAAAGAATGGCACATAAGGATCTTCAAGATCCCTTGTTAAGTGGGGGATGGCTTGGGGGAAGAAAGGTCAGAAGAGCAAAGAGAGCTGAACTAATATGTACATGATACAACAGAAATTAAGTGTATCTATTTTCTCACTGGGAAAAAAAATCCAGTTTTGCTACTGATAGAAGAGACTGTCTACTTATCAGCTTTTGTTACAGGAGGCAGCTTAATAAAGCCTTATGAAAAACCAGAAAAAGACAAAAAGAAATTTAGAAACATTAGAATAAAAAACATAAAGTAAAGTGCACCCTACTCTGGAGATGAATTATAGAATATGCACCATTTGTGTAAAAATGTTTTTATATGCATAGAATCTTTCTGGAAGGATAGATTTAAAAACTGGTTACAATGGCTGCCTCTGAGGGGAACCTAGGGTTAGCTGTGGAAGGAAACTTACTTTTCACTCTTTGCCTTACTTTTGCATGGTGGACTTGCTTACATGCGTGCCAGGTATTTCCACTGGCTTCTCCACGGTGCTGTGTGACCAGGAGCCGGCCCTGGAGGCACTATACTCCCAGGCCCTGTTAGGGTTTGGCCAGCAGAAGGCACCAGAGGGAAACTGGAGAGTTGGCAGCAGCATGAGGTCATGGATTTTATTGCCTCAGCTTCTTCTCGCAACTCTGGTGGAGGCTGGCTGTGTCCCTTAACCAGAGCCCTTTTATCACCTCATGTTGTCAGATGGCCTCTCCACGCAGCTCTTCTCTCCATGTTCCAGATCAGGTTTCTGAAATAAGTCCCTCTCCTTGCCCTTCAAGCCTGCACTGCAAAGGGCTCCCCACTGCACTGCCTCTTACTGGTCTCCACCCTGCCCACATCTTTATTAAACTGTTCTCAAACTACCCCATCTGAGAGCATTCTCTGTTTCCTGCTGGGATTCTGATGGATACAATGCATGAAAACATTACTTTTTCTTTTCCTTTTTTTTTTTTGTCTTTTTTACTGACCGGTAACGGGATTGCAACCCTCGGTGTTGCGCCTGTACCGGGGACCGGCAACGGGATCGCAACCCTTGGTGTTGCGCCCGCACCGCGCTCAGCCAGTGAGCAGAACTGGTCTCCACATGGGATCCGAACCCTCGGCGGGAGCGCCGCCGCACTCCCAAGCGGCGCACTCTCCAGTGCGCCACCAGGCTGGCCCGAAAACATTACTTTTTCAAAAACAATAGAAAATTATTTTTAAAAGCAAGGCAGATGTGTAGATAAAGTAGCATATGTTATCACAACGAACTATTTCACCAGTAACTAAACTGAGTTGGCATGGAGGAGTGTCTTACTTGTTCATTAACATCATCCATCCAGAGGCGTAACGTTTTCCGAATTGTTGGGTAATTGTTTCTGCCCCCTGTCTGTGGTCTCAGCAAGCCAGCCTTCTCTAGGTTGTGTAAGGTCAATATGTGCTCATAGCCGTATGTCTGCAAGGGAAATCGTTTGGCCTTGATGTCAGATCAGGAAAAGCATTTATACGATCTTCAAAAAAGAGCACTCCCAACAAACCAATTTGGTCTGTACTCCAGGGCATGTTACCAAAGCTCAGCAATGACTGTTGATGGGCATGTGGAACAGGGTGGAGGGATGAAACTCATCCTAAAATTCCTTACCCATTACTATTAATCCCACTTATTGTTTTGAAGAAGGATTTAAAATTTTTACTTTTTGGGCCAGCCCGGTGGGGCGCACTGGAGAGTGCACCACTTGGGAGCGCAGCGGCGCTCCCGTCAAGGGTTCGGATCCCATGTGGAGACCGGTTCCTGCTCACTGGCTGAGCGCGGTGTGGGCGTGACACTGAGGGTTGCGATCCCGTTGCCGGTCAGTAAAAAAGACAAAAAGGAAAATAAAATAAAATAAAATAAAATAAAAAAATAAATAAATACAATTTCCCCATTTTTTTGGTCTTTTTTACTGACCGGCAACGGGATCGCAACCCTCAGTGTCACGCCCACACCGCGCTCAGCCAGTGAGCAGGAACCGGTCTCCACATGGGATCCGAACCCTCGGTTTTTTTTGGTCTTTTTTACTGACCGGCAACGGGATCGCAACCCTCAGTGTCACGCCCACGCCGCGCTCAGCCAGTGAGCAGGAACCGGTCTCCACATGGGATCCGAACCCTCAGCGGGAGCGCCGCCGCACTCCCAAGCGGCGCACTCTCCAGTGTGCCACCGGGCCGGCCCTAAAATTTTTACTTTAAACTGAGAATTTATGAACCTAACCAAATGAGCAGCAATTAAATTACAGTATATGTGTATATGGGATATAATTAGCTGTAAAAAAATAATTAGGCATATCTATACATCTAGATAAGAAAAATCTACTGGAAATATTCTTATGGCCAAAAAAGATAATAATAGAATACTATATATAGCAGGATTTTACTTTTGTTAAAAAAAAGATATAGTAAATAACAATAGCCAACACTTATATATTACTTTTTATGAGCTGCACACTGTTCTGGTCTGTGCACTTTACATATATTAATTCAGTCTTCTTTATTATACTCCCATGAGGTAGGTATTATTATTATTATCTCCATTTTAGGGAGATGTTTAAATAACTTGTGCAAGGTCACAAAGCTAGTGAAGAGCAGAGCTGGGATTTGGATCCAGCCAGTCTCACTCCAAAGCCTACATATGTAAATATTCTTTGTATACAAATGCAAAGAAGGGCATCTGGAAGGAAGCATATCAACTGCTGACACTGGTCACATCTGGGGAAGGAAGAAGTGGGGTACAGGGGATGTTCACATTTTGCTCCGTATACTTCTGCATTATATGAATCTTATATGAGGAGAATGCATATTATTTTTGTAACTTAAAAAAAGAGAAAAATGAGAAAATTAATGAGCACTTAATTTTAACAATAGTGTACTTAACTGTGATGGATAATAGCAAATAATTGCTGTCTGAAATATCCCCAAAGAGGGAAGAATTTTTAAAATAATGGTGGGCCTTCCCTTATTAGTTTTGTTGTTGTTTGTATATTTGGCCTTTCCTTATTATTATAACGTCACACAGGCTTAATTTAAGTCAGCCTGCTGAGAAATTATCAGAAATTGGCAAAAAGTTCTTTTCTCTATCATATAACCATCTAGTTAAGAACACGGGCACTAGACTCAAGTTGCCTGGGTTCTAACACTGGTTCTGCCACTTACTAGGTGGGTGATCTTGGGTAAGTTACATAACTTGTCTGTGCCTCAGTTTTTTCATCCATAAAATGGGAACAATAACAGTATCTAACTCACAGGCTATTGTGAAGATTAAACAAACGCACATAAAGCTCTTCAAATAGACCCTGGCACATAGTAAATGCTTGATAAATGTTAGCTATTGTTATTACATAAATTCAATAAACAATGATAAATACCAAGACTAATTCCTCTATGTGTTTTTTTTAAAAAAAAAAGACAGTGGTAAAATAGCAGCTTTGTGAAATATTTCTTTTAAAAGATACTTTCTCCCTTGGCAAGTTAATAATTTAAAAATTTACTGACCTGGAGAATTTCTCTTTTGTAATAATCCAAAACTTTTTGTTTTAGTCCACTATTGCACACGGACTGGAGGCAAACTAGTCTTAATACCTTGATCAAAGGATGCTTTTGGGCAATACAATCCTCAATATAATTGTTGACCTGGAAACAAAGCATATAAACTAAATATCTGGTCTGGGGACTTAAAAAACTTGACATTCACTATTATGTTTCAAAGTCAAATAAAGGAGAAGTGTGGGAGAAGTGCACATGGTTTTTTTCACATTTCCTAACCCTTCCCTGAAAGAGCTCCCCAAGTCCCTGCTCCACACACATGTCCAGGCCACCACGCAAACACACAGTAATCAGCTGGGTCACAGAAGCACACAGCCAGCAAGGATATAATGAAATCTTCTGGACTGGAGGTCAATCCAAATGCCTGTCTTGACACAACTGTCTTTATGGACAACCTCCTGAGAGGCTGCCAAATGTTTGGGACTTGTGTGACCTAGTCTATCTCAATAACATCAGCAATGTATCTAGCACAGAGTAACAGGATTTTTTTTTTCTTGCTTCTCCCCTTCTCTTTTGAACCAGGAATTTTTTTAGAAGATGGGAATTTTCATAAATTGAATGATTTAAAACAGAGCTAAATATTTAAAGGAATTATACGACAAATTCTCTCAAAAAGCAAATATCTGGGCCGAGCTCACTGGCTGAGCGCGGTGCGGCCGGTCTCAAAAAGGACAAAAAAAAAAAGCAAATATCTTAATTTATCTGTTATAGTCCTTAAAGATCATTGATTTCAGGGGCTGGGTCTCCTCTTGATATGTAGTGCAGAAAGTATCTTGCACAGAGTAACCTTAAATATCTGTTACTTGATAAAAATCTGTATTTTTACACTTTGCATTTGCTCTTTAAAATATTTAGGAAAGGGCCGGCCCGGTGGCGCACTGGAGAGCGCGGCGGCGCTCCCGCCAAGGGTTCGGATCCCATATGGAGACCGGTTCCCGCTCACTGGCTGAGCACGGTGTGGGTGCAACACCGAGGGTTGCGATCCCGTTACCGGTCAGTAAAAAAGACAAAAAGGAAAAAAAAAAAAATTTAGGAAAGGCACGAGAATCAAAGCAATTGCTTTTCTGGCTATAATCTTATGTTTGATAAACTTTCAATTTTTGTTAGGACAGCTTTATGGTACACATACCTTATCAGTGTCTATTCCAGACATAAACTCCTGCTCCACTGTTAATTTGTCAAAGAAGTCTTCAGAAGCTAAAATGTAATTAGGAAATTTGCAATTTAGAAGGTTAATAAATGTTAATTCATTTGAGTGGTGGGCTTTCATAAAGAGAGCGTGACTAAGAAACTAGACATGCAAAAGAAAAAGCAAGTAAAAGTTCACATCACCTGAAGAGAATCTTCAAAGAAACATGGAAAACCCTAGAACTCTGTACTCCTAAATTACATTTAGATATTGTTGACTACTGTCCTCCTTTGCTGTTCTTAGGATGTAAATACAGACCTCTGAATTTTGCAGAATTAGCCTCAGTATCAATGGACGCTAAGGGCGTTCCCAAGGGCTTTTCACTTTCATCATCAGATTCAACCTATTTCAATTAATTGCCACTTCTATTAATGTGAAAACAAAGGGCTGATTTTCCAAAACTGTGTTTCATCTAAGATTCGAAGTATACTTCATAGAACAGGGCACCGAACTACATCCTACTCAGCTTTTACAGCCCCTGTGTTTTACTGAACAAATCTGTTTGGTTTAATATACATCTTCTGAGATTTTCAAAATACTCAACATACAAGTATGCTCTCTGTAGCAATTCTGCATAAAGTTTTCAAGGGAAGAACAAAAAAACTTAAACATGCTCTAATTAAGTAATCCTTCACAACAGGAAAAACACTATACAATAAATTAACCACATCATATTATGATGGTAAATTTATGGATGAATTTTTTTCATCTATATTCAAATATTTTGTCATCTGATTAATAAAAAAAATTGAGTTAACCACTAATGGAACATTCTTCACTATTAACATGTGTACACTTACTTCATATTGAGAATAATATCCAATATCAAAATACAGCGTACTTTTGGAGCTGGCCCGTGGCTCACTTGGGAGAGTGTGGTGCTGATAACACCAAGGCCAAGGGTTCGGATCCCTATATAGGGATGGCCGGTTAGCTCACTTGGGAGAGTGTGGTGCTGACAACACCAAGTCAAGTGATAAGATCGCCTTACCGGTCATCTTTAAAAAAATACATCAGACTTTCCCAAAGAAGCATCATGGTGCTCATGACTGTGGTGCCAGACACTGTGTATGCAAGTCAGCCCCAGATGGAAATGATCATTCCAAAGATACTCACTAGTAACATCTTTGATTAACTCTGCAATCGAGGTATGGTTTGCAAGTGAGCCTCTCGCTGCCTGCATGTGGGGTAGCTGGGAAACGAACTGCTTAATCTCCCCCACTGTTTTCGCGTTGTGCCTTTCCTGAAACAGGTAAATAGCAACACTATCAAGCAGGGCAGATGTTTTTTAAGTGTTCTTGTTCTCTGCATCGTTCAGAGGATGTTTAATTCATACTAATGCAGCAGAAAGAATGAAATACAAACAAATCAGGCCAAACCCAGCCCCAACATTATAGATAAGTAGAAAAGCTAAGTATACCACTGAAAGACATTCATTGTGCCTGTTTCCAGCATTAGTACTTCTTTAGAGAGCAAATACCTAAGATTCTCTCTTCCTGTGCACTGGCTCATACAATATGTCAATACTTTGTGACATCTGAGTATTAACAGAAGACACCATTAGGTAAATCTTATAAAGTTTTGAGTAAAAAACTAAGATGAAAAAATGTTATGCTTAGAGGGGACCATGAACAGTAAAAAGTTTCCTATTTTGGGGCCATGGGTCAGAGACCCTTCAAACCCATTGTACAGACTGGGTTACCAGACCCCTCATGTGCCAGCTGGGTCACCAGACCCCTCACATTCAGGTCGTAAGCTAGGTAATTGGGAAAAGACCCTGGGAGCTGTCGAGAGACGACAGGAGCTCAGGAGCTCAGTCCTTAGCAGCAGCAGCTTGTATCAACAGCTCGCAGCAGCAGTACTGGCCTCCCTCTGGGGACAGGGGACGCCGTGGATCAGAGCGGCTCATCCTTTATACTTAAGTCTGATAACCCAGGACACCTGGGTGCACATACGCAATCACATCAGACAATAACCAAGGAACACCTGGGCATACATGCATATTTATATCAAATGCTCAACAAGATTCCAAACCCCTCGAGGGATCCTGACATTTATTTTCACTTTCCCTACACCTATGTAACAGAAAAAAAATTCATTCTTGCTGCTGAAGCTCACTATTGAGTATAGTCCACAAATAAAGTGAAACTAGCTTAGTGATGAGAACATTTTATTGGCAAAATTTAATAATTTAAACCAAAAGTAACTTCAGAAATATGAAAATCAATTAATGAATACAATTCCTAAGAAAGATAAAATTGGGAACATACTCAGTGAAAAACCGTTTCAAAAACTTTCCCAATTTATGTTTCCAAAGCCTAAATATTCAGAGTTCATAATCTTACTGAATTCCCATGTTTCAAAAAGGAGCTTCACCAAGAATAAACCAGTGAATGGGCAAGAGGAGGCAGGAAGGTGATAATGAAGCCACCAACTCAAAAGCTCTGGGCACTGGGGATTTCAATTTCATTATCACCTCCCACACATGTAGGGTTCTCCTGCCACCATCACGTTGGCTAAAATTGGAGTTTTCACCATGAACTGCAAGTTCTGTTATAGAGAATCTTATTTAAAGTACAGCTGCCTTCCTCTTAAGTGAGGTAGGAAATAATTTAAAAGAAGATAAAGCAAATGTTTGTGATAAAAGCTTGAAAACTGCAAACACTTGCAACTCCACACCCCCTCCCCCCAAAAAGTGAAAAACTTAACATAACACCTGTTGTCATGGGTCTGGGGAAAAGTTAAAAACAAAAACAAAACCCTGGGTTCTCCAATACTGAATTTGCAGTTACTGAGGTTGAGAAAGGTACAGCTACACTGAAGCCCTAATTAATGGCTGTATGCTTTTGGAGCTCTTAATTCTCTTGGCTGGGGACGGCGGGAGGTGGGGGG